CCCTCAATTTTGATTGATAGTTTTGCTGGGTACAGTATTCTTGGATTCAGACCCTTCCTTTGCATGACTTTGTGTATTTCATTCCATTCTCTTCTGGCCTTATGTGTTTCTGTTGAGAAATCAGTCACTAGTCTGATGGGGGATCCTTTGTAGGTAACTTTCTGTCTCTCTCTGGCCGCTTTTAAGATTCTTACTTTGTCATTGGTGTTTGCCAATTTAATTATAATGTGCCTTGGTATCAGTCTTTTGGGGTTCATTTTGTTTTGGACTCTGTGAGCTTCTTGGGTTTGTGTGAGTGTTTTCTTCCCTATATCAGGGACGTTTTCTGTCATTATTTCTTCAAACAGGTTTTCTACTCCTTGCTCAGTTTCCTCTCCTTCTGGCACCCCTATTATGTGGAGGTTATTTTGTTTCGTGTTGTCCCAAAGTTCCCTTGGGCTCTCCTCTTGTTTTTTAAGTTGTTTATTTTTTTCCTAGATGCTGCTCTCTTTGGGTATTTTTTCCTACCTTGTCTTCTAGCTCACTGATGTGGTCCTCTGCTTCTTCTAGTCTATTATTGATGCTTTCTATTCTTTTGAGTTCTTTATAGCAGTGATTTAATTTTTATTTCTTCTTGGTTCTTCATTTCCTCTTGGTTCTTACACATATTGTTGCATTTGTCTTCCATTCTTTTCATCCACCTTATGACCATTTCTCTAAATTCTTTCTCTGACATATTGCTTGCCTCCATTTCATTTACCTCTTTTTCTGGTGATGACTTCTTTACTTTTATTTGCGGGCTGTTTCTTTGTCTCCCTATGATCTCTCTTCTCTGGGTATCTGGTTATGTAGATCTCTTTCTCCAGTATTGATTGAAAGGCACAAAATACAACACAACAAGACACAATGCACAAGGCACTGAACACAAATGTATTCATAGTAATAACCCCAAATAAAGGTGACCACCAGAGTAAAGAGAATTAGGGGATAAGTAAAAAAAAGGAGTTCAAAATTATATTGAGAAAAGGAAATAAAGTAAGAGAGAAAAGAAAGAGAATAATAAAGAAGGAGGGAAAAAACTATTTATGTGGGGAGAAAACACCAATGGAACAACCACTAATCCCAAAAAATGCAAACAACAAACACCCAGAGATGAATGCAAACTACAAACAACAGCTAATAACAAGAAAGGAGAGTAAAAACAGAAGCAACAAACAAACAAAAACAAAAAACCTAAAAAAGAAACAATATCCACAAACAAGCACAAAAACCCCCAATCTAATCAACAATCAAGCAAACAACAACAATAAGACAGAGAGAAAGCAAGGCAAAACAAAACAAAATAAAACAAAAAACCTAGAACAAAACAAAACAAAAAAAACAATAACAACAACAAAAAAAAAGGGAAGAGAGAAAAAAATTGGATAGTGAAGAAAGAAAACAGAGAATTATGTATGGACTTAGAGCAGGAGATCAGAAATTAGATATATAAGTAGGGTGAATTTTTAATGGGATAAAAAGAAGGAATAGCGATAATCTAAAGCAGGAATAGGGTAAGAGAAACAGGACAACAAAAGGGGAAAGTGAGGTAGAGAGTGTTGGCATAAAGGTAAAGTTGAGATAGAGCAAAATTATGCTAAAGGAAAAATGAAAATAGAATGCACAACACTAATGCCAATATAAAATAAAATAAAGAGAAAATAAAATGACACTTTTAAAAAAAGGTAAAATAGTAGTAGTAATGATACTGATTAAAAATAAAAATATAATAATTATAAAGGTAAAATCAAGTGAGGGAAAAAGAAAAAAAATTCGTTTCCTAAGTGAAAGATGAAAAAATAAAAATGTGCAGTAGTGAAGGTCATTCACTTCCATTACTGTCCTGTTTGGCGCACCAGTTTCCTGTCAGGTAGTCAGGACAGTATTGAAGTTCCCTGCATTCCACTGCTCCTCTGTGTTGTAAGCCACAGTCCTGATTTTCAAGCAGGCAGTACTTCTTTGTTTCTTATGCTCTTTTATTTGTGTTTACATAAGAGTCAATTTGTGATTCAACCCCTGGCTGGCAGTGTTTCTGGATTGACCTCGGGGCTATAAGTCCTCTCTAGCCAGTATTTAGATTTTGTTTTCCCTGTGGTACTTAATACTGGTTTGGAAGAATGGACTGCCCCAGATCTGGTTCTCTGATCGTTACTCCCCTCTCTGATCCCCAGGTTCCACAAAAACAACTTTCCCCTGCAATCTCTTAGAGCAGTTATTCTCAACCTTCTGGCCCTTTAAATACCGTTCCTCATGTTGTGACTCAACCATAAAATTATTTTCGTTGCTACTTTATAACTGTAATATTGCTACTGTTATGAATTGTAATGTAAATATCTGATATGCAGGATGGTCTTAGGCGACTCCTGTGAAAGGGTTGTTCGACCGCCAAAGGGGTCGAAACCCACAGGTTGAGAACCGCTGTCTTAGAGTGTCCCCAATCGAGTGATCCTATGTACTTGGCTTAGTAATCAAAAGCAAGGATTTAAAGAGAAAAAAAGAGCCAGAGTAAGTGTGTGAACTTTCAACTTTTACCCTCTGGCACTGTGTGCAACTCTGTGAATGTCTCTGTGCACGTCTTTTTTCCCCTGGTACTAAGCAACTGGCACACTGGTAAAATTTCAGGCTGACTTTTTGCGCCCAGTTCAGCTATGGGTTGATTTTTAGAGTTCCCGTCTGCCAGCAGCCCTGCGGATCCCCTTCCACATTCTCAGATCATGCTAGCCCCAACGGCCATGGATTTTGTGGGGCGCAGACTTCCCCCGAACCTCTAGATCCCATTGAGCACATTTCTCTCTCCAGCCTGGATCACAGACCTCACCTTTCCCTAGGCGAATTCTGACCATTCTATAAGAAGGTGCAGAGCTCATCTGAGTCCCTGTATTTGTGCTGCGTGAGATCTGGTGTTCCTGAGTTCGCAGCTGGTCCCTGGGTGTTGTGGTTGTAGAGTCCTGGGATGTATAGGCTTCCCATAATAGCCACTCTCCCCTTCAAGATGGTGTGGTCTCCGCAGCAGAGCTGGTTGCTCTGGGAGAGATTTCAGCAGCAGTGGAGGCTGTCGTTCAGGGGAGCCTGGTCCAACGGTCCCCAACAGTCCCTTGGAGTATAGCTGTTCCTCACCCACAAATATACACTCCACGTACGTCCACACACTCTCCTTTCGTTCTCTCACTCACATACTATCTTGCAGTCTGCCTTCCTGTCAGCAGCCATCTTTCTCCTCCTCCACCTCAAGAAGTTTTAAATTTTCCATCATTGGAGGCAATTTAGAATTGTTTAGGTGGTTATCTGGAGGGATAATCTATATATATAAAAGGCTAATATGCTAAGTGTTCCTCCCTCCGTCCAACTGGCCGTTATGATGCTCACTGACCACCAGGGGGCAGACACTGTTTGCAGGAGCTGCCAAGCTGCAGTGACTTGGCAGCAGCGGTTCTTGGGTGATGCACTCTGAAACCAAAGAGGAGGGAGCCCAATTAGTTGTGGGGCTGCGTGATTCCACCTTTGGCTGTGGGTTATGTTGTTGCTGGGGAACTGTCAGCCCCAAATCTGGTTTACTGCACACTTGCTTTTGTGTTCCACACCCTGTACGACAGCAACTTTGCAGAGTGCCCTCTTGCACTCCAGAACCCCTCAGGGGAAGTTAGAGAGCCAGTTTTGGCCCAATCCCTGCAGGCCAGGCCAAGGGACTCCACCTGGCAGAGGGACCCCACTCACTCCGCAGACTTTCAAGCCATGGTGACACCCCAGCTGCAGCTGGCCAGGGAAGAACCACATGAAGTTGGCTCCAGGGCGTGTTCGGGCCATTTTGTTCAGTCCCACCCTGCCAGCCACCTTCTAATTAATTTTTTTTCAGTGTGCATGAATCCATGCTCCATGTGACTAGTCTAGAGATAATTGGCTCAGAACCTATCTATTGCATGGTAGTAGCATATAAATGTTGATTGGCTGTTTGTCCACACAAGCAGAAAGCAAGTTGATTTCCATTTATGATCATTGATAATTATAAAACTCAAACAATTTTGTTTTGTGTCTCTCTCTCTCTCTCTCTCTCTCTCTCTCTCTCTCTCTCCCTCTTTGTTTTTTTAGCCTGTTGGTATTTGCAGAGGTACTCTGGGTTGAAGATTTGAAGTAAAGCTTGTCGGTATAAATTGTGACTTCTTTCCATCACAGGTATTTTTTCATTCTAATGGTTTGTCTTTCTGTGAAGAAAAAAAGCAGAATATCTATGTTTTAACTCTCCCTACCTCATCCTCTCATTTTATTTTCCTAAGATCCATGATCACCATTTTATTTAGGCTGCCCTGAGGTCACACCCATAGGCTAGCTAGTTAAAGACCTGTCACTCTTTGTTTTAGTCCCAATGAGTTCCTGCAGAATAATTAAGACTTTCATAAATAGGGACCTCTGAGCTTGGATGGCTCAGGCCCTGAGAACTTAAATTCAGTGTCCCAAAGACCCTTACCCTGAACTGACGGGAGAAGTTGTTTCCATGGAAATAGTTGGTCCCATTCCAGAAGTATTTATTGAGCACTTAATATGAGACAGCCTGATATAGTTGAAAGGGTGGTTGAGAGAGGCCACCTGGGTTCCAGTCCTGCTCTGCTACCTATGAGCTAGGTGACCATGGGAAAATTCTTACCTCTCTGAGTCATGGTTGCCTCATCTATGAATGGGCTTGCAATGCTTACCTCATTCAGTTTCTTGTGAGAAATTAGTGAGAAGACCTGGATAAAAGGTGCTGTATTGGGCCTGGCAGAGCATAAACAATTAGTAATGGTGCTATTGCTGTCACACTAGGAGCAGGGAGACAGCCCACTAGGGACTTTGAATATGCCATTTAAGTCCTCTGGATCAAGCTTGCTATCAAGCTTCTACCAGCCCTGATCCTCCTGGCCCTTATCTGTTTTGCTTTATAACCCTTTAACCAAAGGCCCATCCCTCTAGCTGGCTCCCCTTGAAACATTCCATCAGAAAGGCATAGAACAAACCAGCCACAGAAGAGATTTCCCTAGAGAACATTCCCTTATTGAAAGCATTTTTATTTCAGGCTCCCACCCCTAGAAGGAGAAAATTCGCTGTTTACCAGAGAAACAAAAAACCCATGCACTCACCCTCCAAAGATGTGCTAAGCGGATCTGTCCAGTACCTTCCTGAGCTGGATGATGAAGAATCTCAGGAAACGGATCCTGCTGAGGCCTTCCCTGTGCACCTGGATCTAACCACAAATCCCCAGGGAGAACCCCTCAATGTTTCCTTCCTCTTCCATGGGCCTATGATTAAGAAGCTGTTTGTCCTACCTTTCCCCAAAGAAGAACAACGCTCTGCTGAGTGTCCTGGAAATGCCTACTTTAACAACCCTATTCTTCTCCCACCATGAGAACCACATAGAGGATTCCATGAGGATGTGGTGCCCTGCAGGAGATGAGAGGTAGTGGGGAAGGGAGACAGAGAGACAGAGGATTTGAACATAGAGAATAGCTAATAAAGTGTGTCTTTTTGACTCTTCTTGGTCTCATCCCTCCACTTGTACACTGAGCTGCATGCCTTCTGAGCCATCCAAGATATCAATCCATGAATACTTGCCTCGTATGTCCTCCACCTTTCCCTTTGTAACGATTACTGACTTTTAGCCAAGTGTCTCTGATGCAGGACCTGTCATACTTAGGAATGCCCTCCTCTATCTGAGCAAGAACATATTGTTATTCTTTTGATCAAAATGAGATAAAAATGGAAGGACACCGAGAGACTGAGATTCATCACATAGTTTCATGCTCCTTCTACTCCATAATTATTTCAACACTAAATATTGGTCAGATATTGTCTGCACAGCCTTCAACCTGAAGGTGGACTTTCTTTTTCTTACCTGTATAAATAGTCTCTGAGCCCAGAACTTGATAAAGTCACTTAGCAATGGGGGTAGAAGGAAGAAACAGTTGCCTGTGGCTAAGCCTGGAGAGAATCAGATAGTGTTCCCAAGTTCGGGAGTTTTCTAGCTTATTTAATAGTTTTGCTCAGAGGATAAATTAAGAGCCCAAATAACATTCATTCCCAATTTTCCCCCTTAAAAATATATAAAGAGATGTAGACAACATATAATATTATGTACATGTATATGTATATTGTGTTTATATGATACAGATAGGCACACACATATACCTTTTTTTAAATTTAAATTCTTTATTGTTTAAAGTATTACATAAGTCTCCTTTTCCCCCCATTGCCCTCTCCCTGGCTGCTTCCATCCCCCAGCACATGCCCCCATTCTCCTACTGTCTGTGTCCATTGGTTATGCTCATATGCATGCATACAAGTCTTTGGTTGATCTCTAACCACCCCCTCCCCAACCTTCCCTCTGAGGTTGGACAATCTGTTTGATTCATCTATGTCTCTAGTTTTGTTCATCAGTTTATGTTGTTCATTATATTCCACAAATGAGTGAGATCATGTGATATTTATCATTCTCCAACTGGCTTATTTCACTTAGCATAATGCTCTCTAGGTCCATCCATGCTGTTGCAAATGGTAAGAGTTCCTTCTTTTTTACAGCAGCGTAGTATGCCATTGTGGAGATGTACCACAGTGTTTTAATCCACTCATCTGCTGATGGGTACTTAGGCTGTTTCCAAATGTTAGCTATTGTAAATTGTGCTGCTATGAACATAGGTGTGCATATATCCTTTCTGATTGGTGTTTCTGATTTCTTGGGATATATTCCTAGAAGTGGGATTACTGAGTCAAATGAGAGTTCCATTTTTAATTTTTTGAGGAAACTCCATACTGTTTTCCACAGTGGCTGCACCAGTCTGCATTCCCACCAGAAGTGCCTAAGGGTTCTTTTTTCTCCACATCCTTGCCAGCACTTTTTGTTTTATTGATGATAGCCATTCTGACAGGTGCAAGATGGTACCTCATTGTTGTTTTGTTTTATATCTCTCAATCATTAGTGACTTTGAGCATGTTTTCATATGTCTCTTGGCCTTCTGTATGTCCTCTTTTGAAAAATGTCTACTTAGGTCCTTTGCCCATTTTTTGATTGGATTGTTTATCTTCCTTTTGTTAAGTTGTATAAGTTCCCTGTAATTTATCGAAGATAACATTGGCAAATATGTTCTCCCATGCAGTGGGCTTTCTTGTTGGTTTCTTTTGCTGTGCAGAGCTTTTTATTTTGATGTAGTCCCATTTGTTTATTTTCTCCTTAGTTTCCATTATCCTAGGAGCTGTATCGGTAAAAGATATTGCTATGACATATGTCTGCTATTTTTTTGCCTATGGATTCTTCTAAGATTTTTATGGATTCCTATTTTTTGTTTAAGTCCTTAATCCATTTTGAGTTTATTTTTGTGTATGGTATAAGTTGGTGGTCTAGTTTCATTTTTTTTGCATGTATCTGTCCAATTTCCCCAACACCATTTATTGAAGAGACTGTCTTGATTCCATTGTATG